AGTTGTAAGGAATCCACAAGGATCACCATGTCTAACTCCTGGCCCCACACAGGACCACCCAACAATTAAATCCTGTGTCTGAGACTGTTCTCCAAACGTTCCTTAAACTCCAGCAGCTTGGGGCCATGACCAAGGCCCTGGGCAGCCTGTTCCATGCCTGACTGCCTTCTGGTTAAGAACCTTTTCTGCACCCCCAGCCTGACCACCCCCTGACACAGCTCCATGCTGTTGCCTCAGGTCCCATCGCTGTCACCAGAGAGCAGAGCTCAGTACTGCCCTTCCACTCTCCTTGTGAGGAGCAGTAGACTCTATGGGGTCTCTGCTCAGCCTTCTCTGCTCTGGGCTGAACAAACCAAGTGACCCCAGCCACCCCTCATACACCTTACCCACTAGGTCCTTCACCATTTTGTAACCCTGAAGCACAAACGGTAGGCATACAAGTAGGATTGGCACACAAGTTTTATTAAAGGAAGAATATACAAGCTGGGCTTGTTGCTCTAGAGGCTGAATCATTTGGCTTGTGGCTTGCTGTGGAAAGCCCTCATTCTCCCCAGAGCTGTGGTTTTGATGTTCCCTGAGTCTTCAGCTTCCCCTGGTGCTCCCCCAGGCTCAGGGACAGACTTGCAGCCACTTAGAAAGGCTGTCACATTACCAGGCACACACTGCTTGAGGCTGTCTGCCACTGGGCCATTAAAGACATGTTTCCTACTCACTCCAGAGGGCAGGCATTGTCCTATACAGACACTATAAATAAGTTCTCATAACTTGGACCATAGAACACAACAGAAGCCTTGCATTTCCAGTCATTAGTGAAAGCCACAAATTTTGGAAATAACCAGTTCCCAGAGATGACTTATAAAAAAATAACACTTCATTATGAGAAAAACAAAAATGATTATCTTTTTTTTTTTTCCCCTCTTGTTGCCTCTTTAATATTAAAAATCAATGGTTGAAACCACCGAAGTCTATAAGTATTTTGCATAGCATAACCTTCAGTGAAGAGCACTGCATAGCCCAGTTTCTAAGAAAACTGGTTTTGCTTTGACAAAGTTACGAAGATTCAGAAATTACTCACTGCACACACACAACAGACCTTTTGTTAAGTCTAACTGGGAACACATAAAATGATATTACTGTATGTGTATGGCTGATTGTGCTGTGTGTTGGAACTGCAGAGCCTGTGAGCAGGCTCAGACTAGTCCAGGAAGGTCCCCGAGCATCTGAGGATAGCTGAAAGTGATTTTCCTGAAGTTCTCCAAAGCACTCAGGCAGTGGGCTCAGGGCAGGGCTGTAAGCATTCTCCTCCTGCCAGAACCATTCCAGACTTCTTTTTTTTCTTCTTCCCCCCCTCCCTCCCATTTCCAATATATAATTTGTAGTTTCCCTGACTGCACAGATGCACAGAGCAAGCAAAGGCAAGCCCACAGCAAGTGACGAACCTGTTGGTGGTGAGGCTGGGGAGAGAAGGAATTCTCCAATAACTCAAAAGTTGGCTGCAGCTACAGACTCTTCCTACTCGACAAAAGGATTTAACAGAGAGGGAGAGATGCCTTCTGCTTTAAAACTCAGTTTTTGGTAAGACTTGTGCTTGGAAAAGAAGAAAGCAATAGAGAGAGACAGCTGCAGAGGTGGCACCAGGCTCAAACAAGACAGGGGAACAGAGCAGCTCATATGAGTTACTTCTGTTACTTCAATTCTGAAGCCTGCTCTGCTCTTTGGAGGCCCTTACCAAGCAGCTCTGGTCACAAGCAGAGGCAGGACAAAATACAGGCCACATGCGAGTGTGGTGCAGCATTCAATACTGTGGGACACTGTCCCTAGCTCCTAGTGAAAAATGGGGCCCAGAGGAGCCCAGAAGAGCCCAAAGAAATTAGGACATTGGAGTGGAAAAAGGCAGATAGGGGAAAGGTGAGCCATGGACAGAGGGAACAGGAGAAGGCAAAAAGCAGAGGTTTTGACTAAGAGGCAAAGCTGTAGTAGAAGGTGCTGAGAAAGAGAAAAGGGTAACAGAGCACTGGGAAGCTACAGGAGACCATGGAGACCCTCCTCTCGGGTTCTTTCATATTTTCCTTAGGAAAACTCCCATAGTATTAACACCCAGATCAGCTATGGACATGCAGCATCAGATTCTCAAGGGTCCCAGTCTCTGATAATCAAATGCATTGTTCTTGCCATGTTGCCAGTCTTAAGGTGACAACTCTTGCAGATGAATAAAAGTGTTTTCAGTTTCTTTTTGGCCACCCTGACATCTCAGTGAGGTGGGATTCACTGTATCAACAGAAATCTACATAAGGCAATGAGACAGACGCAATTACAGAGCAACTGTGATGCTACTGCTACACCTAATCCAGTTCAAATCTGCAGCCTGAACAACCATAATGCCAGATAACACCTGCACACCAATGGCAGTGACGTAAAAAAACATCATGAGTGGCATTTTGACAAAGTCAAAAAAGACCCAGCTTCACTGGGTGAAATGCTGGATGGATGGCTGGGCCCAAAAAGATGTGGTCAGTGGAATTAAATCCAGTTGGCAGCCAGTCATGAGTGGTGTCCCCCAGGGCTCAGTACTGGGGCCGCTTCTACTTATCATCTTTATTAATTATCCTGATGAGGGGGCTGAGTGCAATCTTAGTAAGTTTGCAGATGACACCAAGTTGGGAGGGAGTGTTGATCTGCCTGAGGCCTCATCTCGAGTACTGTGTTCAGTTTTGGGCACTTCAGTTCAGAAAGAACATTGAGGTGCTGGAGCAGATCCAAAGAAGGGCAACAAGGCTTATGAAAGGCTTGGAGAACACGTCCTACGAGAAAAGACTGAAGGAAATGGGGCTGTTTAGTTTGGGAAGAAAAGGCTGAGAGGAGACCTTATTGCTTTCTTCTATTATCTGAAAGATGCTTACAATGAGAGAGGTTTGATCTCTTCTCACTGGTGACAGGTGACAGGATGAGGAGAAATGACCTCAAGTTGTGTCAGGGGAGATTTAGGTTGGACATAAGGAATAACTTCTTAACAGAAAGGGTTGTTAAGCACTGGAATAGGCTCCTCAGGGATGTGGTTGAGTCACCATCCCTGCATGTGTTTAAAAACCATCTGGACGTGATGCTCAGGTACATGATTTATGAAGAGTTGTTAGTTAGGGTAGTATGGGTAAGTCGCAGTTGGACTTGATCTTTAAAGTCTTTTCCAACCTAAGTAATTCTATGATTCTATGATTCTATGATTCTAAGACCATTTGAACCCATAGGTGCCTCCTCAGATACTGAGGTGAGTGTGCTGGTTGTGCTTGGAGCACTGCATGGCCAGTGGTTTGGCACAGCAACAGCTTCTGGTAGCACAGAGACTGCTGACAAGCAGAAGGCTGTCCTGATGGAGCAGAGGACAATCAGTGTCACCCTTGTGAGTACATTGTTCCCTTTTGGAGTGCTCATTACTTTGTATAGCATTTCAGGATTCATAACTGCTAACTTGACAGCCTGTAGCTATTTGGACAAGCCTGCTAGGAAAATGAGAGGCTTTCAGGGCGTCATGTTTCCAGAGAGCTTCTGGTTCCACATATTTTTGCTGCAAATGAACACACACATCTGATCAAAGAGCCTTACGATGTTCCACAAGTTCATAAGCATGATGTCACTGCTAAATCTGCATCTGTTAATAGGCAGTTCAACAAAAAAGTGACCTGGTCCAAACACAATGTCAAGATTGCCACTGATGACACAGCAAGTAAGAGATTCTGATGCTAACTTCAAAATATGATACAACATTTTCTGCCAACTTTATGCACTCTGGATATTTTAAGTAGCAGAGAAAGCTTGGACCATGCCAGCCAGTGCAGCTCATCGTGAAAGGGAGCTGAACCTCCTTCCTAAACCAGTTAATACTTTTGTCCTAAGACTGTCATTTTTGCCCTTCTCTCCTTGCTGTCGCCCAAAAACTCTCGGCCTCTGCTCCTGATCCTTCCCGGTACTCCAGGTCGTCCTGTTCCTACCCGTCCCCGCCTCCGCGCTGTGCTGTGGTTCTCTACACGGCCTTGGAGCGCCGGGGTCCCGCAGCTCTGGAGGAAGGAGCTCTCCCCGGTGCCGGCAGCTTGCGCGGAGGCCGTGCCGGCGCCCTTCCCTGCATCTCTCGCGGCGGCCCGGCAGGCGGCAGCAGAGCGCCCCTCGGGGCCGTGGCCGTGCCGGCTTTTCTTCGCGGGCCCCGGTTGGGGGTGGCGAAAGGTGCGCCGTGCCCCTCTGCGGGCCCGGCCCCGGGCCTCTCGCTTTGCGGAGTGGTGTGCGGACGGCCAGGGTGCGCCGGTCCATGTCAGGCCGAGCCGGGGTGCGGGATAGCCCCGAGCGTGTGGGCGCGGAGCGATGTCCTGCAGAGACAAAGGCGCGCGGGTGCGGGGGGGTCGTGAAGCATCCTTCGCCACGCCAGAGCAGACAAAGCGGTGGAGAAGCGGCCGGCACGGCACTGCGCCGCGCCCCCGGGTCTTCCAGTGCTGGGCTGCAGAGCCCCGCCGGGAGGAGGAGGAGGAGGAGGAGGAGGGAGGAGGTTGGGGGTGCGCCTCTGCCGCGGGCAGAGGGAAGCCGCTCTCTGAGCGTGAACCGAGCTCCGCGCCGCCGCCGACCCGCCCGCCTCGCCTCGCCTCCCCGTCCCTCCGCCCTCCTCCCTCCCCCCGCCTCCCTCCCGCCGCAGCCGGCCGCGAGCCCGGATGGTTTGCGAGCTGAGTTGAGGGGGCAAACTTTGAAGCCCAGATGCCTCTGGGGCTGAGCGGCAGAGCGCGGCTGCTCCTGCAGGCACCTGCCGCCGCCCTCCCC